AGATAGACACAGCGAGAGTGGGAAAACAAGCAGGGGCAGAGGGAGAGGGAGAAGCAGACTCCCTTGTTGAGCAGGGAGCATGATGCGGGGCTTGATCCCAGGACCCTGGGACTATGACCTGAGCTGAAGGCAGATGCTTAATAACTGAGCCACCCAGGTGCCCCTGAAAATTGTTTAAATTTAAATTCAACTAGCCAACATATTGTACATCATTAGTTTCAGATGAAGTGTTCAATAATTTATCAGTTGAATACAACACCCAGTGCTCATCATATCACGTGCCCTCCATAATACCCATCATGCAGTTACCCCATTTTCCACCTACCTTCCCTGAAGCAACCCTCAGTTTGTTTCCCATAGTTAAGAGTCTCTCATGGTTTTTCTCCCTCTGATTTCTTCCCATTCAGTTTCTGCTCCATTCCCCTATGATCCACTGGCCCATTCATTAATTTCCACATATAAGTGAAACCATATGATAATTGTCTTTCTCTGATCGACTTAGTTCACTCAGCATAATACCCTCTAGTTCCATCCATGTTGATACAACAGACACATGAAAATGGCCTTTCAAGATAATATATTTTACCAACTCTAGTATCGGGTGCCTTTGCCATCAGGGTTCATTGTTGTTTTCTTGTTGGTGCTTATTTGTTTTGCGACCTTCTAGCTGAATTCCACAGATTCTGTATCCCCTGTAATGTTCAGCCACAGAGTTTTCTCCTAACTTTTCTTTTCTTTTTTTTTTTAAATTTTATGTTAGTCACCATACAGTACATCATTAGTTTTTGATGTAATGTTCCATGATTCATTGTTTGTATATATATTTTTTAAGATTGTATTTACTTGTTCAACAGAGAGAGAGGGAACACAAACAGGGGGAGTGGGAGAGGGAGAAGCAGGCTTCCTGCCAAGCAGGGAGCCTGATGCGGGGCTTGATCCTAGGACCACAGGATCATGACCTGAGCTGAAGGCAGATGCTTAACGACTGAGCTACCCAGGCACTCCTCATTGTTTGTGTATTTTAAAAAGTGCTTATTTTGGGGCACTTGGGTGGTTTCGTCAGTTGAACGTCCTACTCTTGATCTCAGCTCAGGTCTTGATCTTGGGGTTGTGAATTCAAGCACTGTGTTGGGCACCACACCAGGCATAGAGCCAACATAAAAAAAAAATAAATAGGGTTTTCAAGGGGCGAGGGGTGGGAGGTTGGGGGAACCAGGTGGTGGGTATTGGAGAGGGCACGGATTGCATGGAGCACTGGGTGTGGTGCAAAAACAATGAATACTGTTACGCTGAAAAGAAATAAAAAATAAAGAAACTACTTGAATTAAAAAAAAAATTAAAAAATTAAAAAGTGCTTATTTTAATTTTTAAGCCTGGTTTCCTGGTCATTGTAACTTGAGTAGTCCAACAATGATTAGTATCATTTTCTTAAATGCCTTGCCTGTGTCTCTTCATCTCATGCCAAGTAGATCTATGTAAGAAGTCATGCCTTTAAACTTCAGGCAACTTAAAAGACTAGTTATTTTTCACTGCCTGCCTGGGAAGGGTCTAAAAGTCAACCAGAGCTAGGTGACTTGGGACTTAGCCTCTTTTTCTGGCCATGTGCATAGCCTTGGCTTATGCACAGAATTTTGGATCCCCAGGAACTGATTGGAGCTATTCAAAGTCCCTAAGGTGATGCCTTGGAGATAAGTTTTTTTCTGCTAAGCTGAGCTCTGGCTATAATCCAGTAGCCACAACAACCTGAGGATATAGATTTTCTAGGGAACTTCAAGCTTAGACTAATAATATATCTTTACCTATATTCATACATATGTATATATATATGTTTTATATTTATACAGCTACAGTGGATATTAACGTAAGAGTACAAAGGACTCATTGATATGGTTTCAGATTCTGTGTTGCAAATAACCTAAAGAAACCTCTACTTTTACTGAGTTTTGGTGCCTTATCAAAGAATATCTATGATTTCAAAGAATATGATTTTTAAAGAGTATTAATACATTCCTCTTCTCTCCAACTACTTATCTGAGTCTAGATTTTCTTCATACCTTTTTTTTTTGAAAGATTTCACTTATTTATTTGACACAGAGAGAGATCAGAAGTAGGCAGAGAGACAGAGAGAGAGGGAGAAGCAGGTTCCCTGCTGAGCAGAGATCCTGATGTGGGGCTCGATCCCAGGATCCTGAGATCATGACCTGAGCCGAAGGCAGAGGCTTTAACCACTGAGCCACCCAGGCGCCCCCCTTTTCTTTAAACTTCATTTTTTCAGTGTTCCAAGATTCATTGTTTATGCACCACACCCAGTGCTCCATGCAACATGTGCCATGTAATACCCACCACCAGGCTCATCCAACCCCCTACCCGCCTCCCCTCCAAAACCTTCGGTTTAGTTTCTCAGAGTCCACGGTCTCTTACGGTTCATCTCCCCTTCTGATTTCCCCCAATTCCCTTCTCTCCTTCTCCCAATGTCCTCCGTGTTATTCCTTATGCTTCAAAACAACATAGAAAGCTGCACTGTATGCTGAAGTGGATATAATAATCCAGTGATCTTCTTTTGAGCCATGCATTAGTGAGGTGTACAGAAATCTAAAAAAAAACCACCACTCTTCTCAATAGCTTTTTAAAAATAAATGTAAGTATTTTAGAAAAATAATATTAACTGTTCTGGGGCTGGTTGGTTTACCAGTGCTTCAGTCTTTCTGTTGACTGCAAGGCTGGTGGCTTTTTCCTTTTACCAAGATTCAGTGATTTTTCTTGGATAGACAACTTTCCATTTGTTCTGTGTGTTTGGTTAATCCTTAGAGTTCTGAATTGATTGATTCTACTTGTTTTGCCCATTATTTGTTGTTTTAGTGGGGGAGATGAATTAAACAGGGTCTTCGTTCTATCATTATGAAAGCTGATCTCCCAGGTGCTTTACTTTTGTTTTATCTGTTAGAAATTTGTCATAATCATTTTGCTGCTCCTAAAGCCACACTTGTTTATCTTCAGAACCTCAAAGATAAAGTTGCCACTGTTGCTTTCTTATACACTACATGGTTCTCTCACATGCATTGTTCCCTGTTATAGAAAAGCAGCTCAGCAAACCCACTCTGATCACCCAGATGGAACAAGAAGATGAGATGAAAACAGAGACAGGAAATCACCAAGATATCTGTTCAAGTGAGCAGTGGGCATAAATGAATGTTTTGTACCACATCTGGTGGGGCTGAGGAAGAGGTACATTATGAAGGGTCAAACAGGGGACTTAAAAAAAAATCCTCTAAATTTGAGTAGAGAGCAGAGACCATTTGGTGTGAGCTTATTCATGTACTTTCAGAATTCCCTAGTCTTCGGCTTTTAACCTGTTATTTCATACTTTTTCTAAAATGTTATGTTAGTCACCATACAGTACTTCATTAGTTTTTGATGTAGTGTTCCAAGATTCGTTGTTTGCATGTAACACCCAGTGCTCCACGCAATATGTGACCTCCTTACTACCCATCACCAGGCTCACGCATCCCCCAACCCACTCCCCTCTGAAACCCTCAGTTTGTTTCCTGGAGCCCATACTCTCTCATGGTTTGTCTCCCCCCTCTGATTTCTCCCCTTCATTTTTCCCTTCCTTTTCCTTATGTCCTTCATACTTTCCTGTGCTCTGAAAGAAAGACCTGTCTTGTGCTTTAATATTTACATTTAGAATCACTAATTCTTCCCATTTTGCATGTATAATATACCATAGCCTTTGCTTATTAACACTAAAACATGTAAATATCATTCTTTTGATCAAAATACATTTTTTCTTGCACATTGTCTTCCTAGTTTAGGGTCTGTTTGAAGAGATCCACATGGATATTAGTTTTGGTCCTTGTCATCCCACCATTTCATACTCAAGGTTGTTTCCTGTTTGTTTCATATTGGGCTTGGGCTTTGCCTGCTTTTGTCAGCATATTGACAAAAACTTACTTTCCCCCACTTTGTTCAGATGGGATGGTTCCCCTTAAAACCAAACAATCACAACATAAGCAAGATATTTTGGAGAAAGAAGCACTCAGTGGCAAGAAGGTAGGAGTCACATGAGAATTTCTTGCTGTCTGTTAGAAGTCCAGAGTCCATGTAGTAGAAAAGGAACACATGAACTAAGGGGGCAATTTGAGGCATTCATAGAAAAGGAACACATGAACTAAGGGGACAATTTGAGGCATTCATTTTACCAATAAAGTAGGAAATTCTCTAAATACCATGAATATGAAGGAAACTTACCCACTAGCTCCAAAAATGGTTGCAGAGAATCCTCAAAGTAAATATTTTCATAATGGACATTAGATACTAAATATTAAAAACATTCACTCCAAAGCATTTGTATATTAAAACTTTAAAGAACCCTGATGAGAGCCATGTGGTATAAGATTCATCTTATTCAAGCTAATAAACTCGGATAGGAACTGTGTATATTCACTTAAAAAAAGTGTTAGGTAAGCTCTAATTTTAATAAAGTGCATGTTTAAACCTGTCAGAATTTATGAGTACAGGTGGGGGGGAGGAGATTCTCAGTCAACATAATGATTGTGATAAATCTTGTGATCACAACTAATTTTAACCAATAGGAGCAAACTCTTGGAGGAAGATCCATTGAACAGAATAAAATTGCCTTGAGTGTGAAATCTAGTATTACTCAGAATCAGAGGATTCATCCTGGAGAGAATCCCCATCAACACCTCCATCTTGGGAAAGCCCTCAGAGATTGTTTACACCTTAACCCACATGAGAACATTCTTTCTGGGGAAAAATCCAATGACTGTAAAAATGATAAAAATACCTTCATCAGGAGTTCTTTCTTAGCTGTGTACAAGAGACCACATACAAGAGAGAAATCCTATGAATGCCCTGACTCTAGGAAAGTCTCAAGTTCAATCTTAGATCTTAAGCATCAAAAAACTTGCATTAGGGAAAAATCTTTTCAATGTAGCCAGTGTGGTAAAGTATTAGTAAACCACTCCTCCATTGCATTGCACATGAGAACCCACACTGGAGACAAACCTTTTAAGTGTAACCAGTGTGGGAAAGCCTACCGTTCAAACTCTTACCTCACACGACACAGGAGAATTCACACTGGGGAGAAGCCCTATGAATGCCATGACTGTGGAAAAACCTTCAGAGATAGTTCACTTCTCAGACAACATGAAGGAATTCATTCAAGGGACAAACCCTACAGATGTGATCAGTGCAGCAAAACCTTTAGTAGGAGCTCTAGGCTTACCATGCACAAGATAATACATACCAAAGAGAAGCCCTATGCCTGCACTGATTGTGGGAAAACCTTCAGCATTCTTTCATACCTCACAAGACATAAGAAAGTACACACTGGTGAGAAGTCTGTTGAATGCAGCCACTGTGGAAAAGCCTTAAGTAGTCCATCAGCTCTGAAGACACACCTGCGGATACATACTGGAGAAAAACCTTACAAGTGTGATCAGTGTGGGAGAACTTTTAGAATGAGCTGTAATCTTAATGTGCACAAGAAAATGCATGCTGGAGAGAAACCGTGTACTTGCATTGACTGTGGGAAAGCCTTCAGAGATCACTCATGCCTTAAAGAACATGTGAGAATTCACACCGGAGAGAAGCCCTTTGCATGTGATCAGTGTGGGAAAGCCTTCAGAGTGAAATCTTTCCTCACTTTGCACAAGAAAGTTCACATGAGAATGAAACAGTATGAGTGTAAGGAATGTGGGAAAGCCTTCAGTGGTCTCTTATCTCATAGGAGACATATGAAAAAGCACACCAGGGAAAAGAAACCCTTCAAGTGTAGTCAGTGTGAAAAAGCTTTTAGGAGGCATGTGTCCCTTACAATACATATAAGAACTCACACTGGAGAGAAACCCTATGAGTGTGATCAGTGTGGGAAAACCTTTAGCGTAAGGTGCAATCTTACTGTGCACAAGAGAGTCCATACTGGAGAGAAGCCCTATCGGTGCAACATGTGTGGACATGCTTTCAGTAAGCTGTCATCCCTTCGGCGGCATCACGAGAGCACTCATGCTGGATAAAGCTCTGAGTAATGTCCATGCACAGTGGTTTTCAGTGAACTCTCAATCTTGAAGGTGTATAAGCATATACTAACTGCAGAGAACTGGATGTAAAGAATGGAAAAAAGCCTCTAAAAATCTGTAGGAGAAATATAAGTTATGCAGTGACTTTGATAAATCCTTTAATCATCTCCTAGATACATGACCAATTGATACTAAAAGTAAAAACTTTTTAGTGTCTTCAAGACTTGTTGAGAAAAATAAATGCCTAATGTTTTAAGCCACCATATTTACAGTGTGTGTGTGCGTGTATTTTGGAAGGGAGGTTTTATTCACAAATGTCACCAATATAACCCATGTCCGGTTTTTAGAAATTTATGTATATGATTAAAAAATTGAATTACTGCTGGAGTACCAGGATGGAGGTTATCTGTATAACTCCATAGTGGTCATTTCCTTTTCACTCTAATCACCCTAATTCTTGACACCATAACATGTGTACTCTGGGTTCAATGCATTTTTTAAAAGGTTTTTCTTTTTTAAAGTAATCTCTACAGGAACTCACAGCCTGAGATCAAAAGTCACATGTTCCACTGACCTGGCCAGGTGCCCCTAGAATCAAGCCTTTTTAACAGCTTTATTGAGATGTAATTTACATGTTGAAGTATAAAATTCCATGGGTTTTAGTATGTTTACAGAGTTATATGCCCTATTCTACCTGATACGGTATCATTGTACCTGGATTCTGCTCAACACTCTTTGTGAGAATCATCTGTGTTCTTTCTTTAGCAGAATTTTATTGTCATTGATACATAGCTTCCCATTTTATGAATATGCACAATTCAACTGTTCTGGACATTTGGGTTGTTTATAGTTGGAGTATTTTTTAAAATATTTTACTTATTTGAGAGAGAGAACACAAGCAGGGAAGAGACAAAGGGAGAGGGGGAAGAGCAGAGAGCTTGATGTGGGGCTCAGTCCCAGGACCCTGAGATCATGACCTGAGCTGAAGGCAGGTGCATAGCTGACTGAGCCACCCAGGAGCCCTATAGTTAGGGTATTTTATAAGTAAGTCTGCCATGAACATTCTTCAACAGGTTTTAGTTCACAGCTGTACATATTTTTGTTGGATATATATTTTAGGAGTGCAGTTTCTGGGTCATAGGGAATACACATAGTCACATTTATTCAACACTACCTGGTCAAATTTATTCAACAGTATCCCACAGTTTTATGAAGTAGTTGTTCCAGTATGCATGTCTGCTCTCTTGTTAATATTTTATATTGTCTTTTTCATTTTGGTCATTTTGATGTGTATGCCATAGGATCATATTTTAATTTTTTAAACACTTTTCATTTGGAACCATTTTTGCACTTATTAGGAAAGTTTGTATGGAGTCCTGTATATCCCTCAGTTTCCCAGTGTTAATACAATTAATTTGTCACTGGCTTTCTTCTGGTTAGTATTTTTTGTGTGTGATCTCTAAGATTGTTGGTTTTGATGTCCGTTTTCCAGACAACCTCCAAAAGCCTTCCCAAGTAACTAGTAAATTGGTTTCTTTGCATGTACTCTTTACTATTACAGTACTTACCTCACTCACGAAGCGTTTTTGGTTAAAGAAAAATTCGAGAGTGTGACTTTGTGGAGATGATCCCATGGTACATGCTCTGTATCCCCAGTCTCTGTCCCTATGGGGACTTAAACACCACCTTGCTTCTCTTACTCTTCCAGTGATAATCTCTGCTTCAGAGAAAGGTGGGAGTTGGTCTGATGAGAAGGTCAGCCCCAAGAAATCCAAGAATGAGATTCCCAGTCTGGAGATGAGAGGAAACATACGGGAAGAGAATTTATGTACACCTGTCCTCTCAGGTTCAGGAAATCTGGTCATTCATGCATCCTATCTGTGAGCTGTTCTCCTCAAAGATTTGAAATGCCTTGGGGAAGAAATGGTAGCATATATCTGGCTAATGAGGAGCTTTGGAAATTGAGCTCCCAGGCCCACAGAGACTAGAGTTTACCTGTGACCCCTCCTCTCAAAGCAATGTTCATGTCAGGAAACACACCTGAGTCTCCTGAGATCAACCTTCTTGCCCTGGAGCCCAGTTGCCTTTGTCCCTCTGCTTTTCCTGGGGACAGATTTCCTACCTCTTCCCTTCAATATCCAGAAGAAAGGTGAATTACTCATTGGTGACTTAAAGGTAATCTGGTGTGTCCTACTAAATGCTGTGAGAAATTGAATGTACAATTTTTTTTTTTAATCAGCCTATCTGGAGGACATCTAAGAGGTAAAAGAAAGTTTGGTAGGATGAAGCTATATTGAATTTGTGGTCAACTTTCATTTCCTGCTCTTACTGCTTTTTAAATTCCAGGGACGTTTTTCCTTACTTGAACATGAATTAGCACCTTCAGAAATCGGACAGATAGGGTCTCCTGGGTGGTTTGACTGAACCAGTTAAGCATCTGACTTCAGCTCAGGTCATGGTCTCAGAGTCCTGGGATTGAGTCCTGCATTGGGCTCCCTGCTCAGTGGGGAGCTTGCTTCTCTCTCTACTGTTCCCTCTGCTGGTACTCTCTCTCTTTCTCTGTCAAATAAGTAAAATCTTAAAAAAAAAGAAATTGAACAGATAATTCTACAATTCACTGGTTTCCCTTATTTTGGTGGGCTGAGAATGGGACTAGGATGGGTGGGTTTGGCTTCTCAGTTTTCCCATATCTGATTCCAGCTTTTATCCTCAGAAAGCTCAAGTCTTGTCTTTACCTCTTACTTGTAAGGACCTTGAGAGAGAAGGTTGAGACGCATTAGTCTACCTTTCTAGTCTTTCTCTGAAAACCCTCAAAGAAAATACAGAATATTTTATTTTATTTTTTAAAGATTTTCTTTATCTATTTGAGAAAGGGAGTGAGAGCACGAGAGGGGAGAAGGTCAGAGGGAGAAGCAGACTCCCCATGGGCCTGGGAGCAGATGTGGGACTCGATCCCTGGACTCCAGGATCGTGACCTGAGCTGAAGGCAGTCACTTAACCAACTGAGCCGCCCAGGCACCCCAGAAAATACAGAATATTTTAAACCATCAGAATAGCACAGTACTTTCCAGAATTAATGCTGACATTTTGGCCATATTAATTTCAGACATTTTTTTTAAATACAATAGTATACATTATATATGATCAGTTTTTTTTTTTAAGATCTTATATATTTGACAGAGTGACAGAGAGGTAACACAAGCAGGGGGAGTGGGAGAGGGAGAAGCTGGCTTCCCGCCAAACAGGGTGCCCGAGGCAGGGCTCAATCCCAGGATCCTGAGATCATGACCTGAGCCGAAGGCAGACACTTAATGACTGAGCCACCCAGGCGCCCCTATCATTATATTTTAAACTGAGTATCAGATCCAGATCCTACAAGGAAAGGTCTTTCTTTGCTTTTAGATGGGAATAACTATGTCAGCATGGACAGATCCTCTGTTATGTTACTATTCTCCTCCCCCCTTCCCAGAGATTACCAGTCTGGAATTGGTGGATATTTGCCACAGGTAGTTTAATACTATTAGTACATGTGAACATGTCTGATAAATCTCTGCTATAGAAAAAAATTGTAATTAGCCCAAATGCCCACTGATGTGAGAATGTATATTAAAATTAATAAATCTTCTTGTGCCAGTCTTAATAAATACAGAAAATACAGTATAAAGCCAAAATAGGTGGTTGAGTTGAATAATAATGTATAACAAATACGAGCTTGTAACATAATGTGACATAAGCACAGACTGTTTACAGCTACATCATTACTCATGTGAAATATTCCAGGGGAATGATACATGTAAAGTTCGGTATCAAGTTTACCCTCAGAGGAAAATGACCTTCCATCTGTATTGAGATTATGTATGAATATGCCGGGGCTTAAAAGTGACCTGCATTGTTTTATTAAAAAAAAAACTGGGGCAAGCTTGGCACAATGTCAAATTTTGTCATGCCAGCTGGTGGGCTTAAGCCTTTCATTGTCACTTTGTCCTTGTTGGGATACTTAAATTGAACATAAAATGTGAAACAATTATTTTAAGGAGTATTTTATAATTATATAAATTTCATCATGCTATACCTATCATATAAATTGCTTTTCTCCTTTAATTTTGGTCTAATTTTATACAGTGAGAAGTAATTTAAATACTTAGATTTTTGCATTTTTAAAACATAACATTTAAAAAATGAAGGATGATATAATAGTATAAAATATTTAAATAACATGGTATACCATTATTGTGCCATAACTTATGTATATATTCCCATACTTACATTTGTTTCGGTTATTTCCTTTCTCTATTTTGTTATACTGAGGGCTCCCAGTAGGGATTTGAGTACATCCTTTTCAGCCCTAAGATATTCTTGGGGTGCCTTTGCTTGCCTCTTTCACTCTGTCTCATTCTCAGCTCTCTTCCCTTCTAGACATTAGGACTGTCCACTGCTAAAACTGAAAGTGATAGGAAAAGTCTTTGCAAGTCCCCACTGTGCTGGGTGCTTTTCATTTATTAATTTTTTATTCCTGCAATACCTTTGTATGTTTTTTTATAGTAGTTTCCATTATAAAAATGAGAAAATTGGGACGCCTGGATAGCTCAGTCAGTCAAACATACGCCTTTGGCTCAGGTCATGATCCGAGTGCTGGGATCAAGTCCTGCATCCAACTCCTTGCTCAGTGGGGAGTCTGATTCTAAGCCTGCTGCTCCCCTGCTTCTGTGCGCATGCACCTTCTTTCTCTCTCTCTCTGACAAATAAGTAAAATCTTTTAAAAAAATTAAAAAATTGAATCTGCTCAGAGAGGTTCAGGGACCTTCTGATGTCACAGATCCATGTTACAGTTGGGAGATTCATGACTAAACCAAGGAGTGTCTGTGTTTAAGACTTATCCCTAAATGGTTTTTATGATCCCTTGTCTTTCTCCAGGAAGAGAGTCAGTTCTGCTCAGGGCCTCAGTTTGTGAAGCAGAGGGCTCACATTAGGTGGGCTCACTGTACACATCTTGTGAT